GCAATAGGAATGTAAAAATTCCTATTATTATCGCAATAATAGTCCATTCCCATTCGGAGGTCAATTTTTAAATTCTCTAGAACAAACGGGAAGGTTATGGAACTACAATAAGCAAAAGTATAATAACCAAATCTAACGGCTGTAAACTCACGATCAGAACTTTCTGGAAATAAAACTTCTCCTTTATAAACCTCGCGCTTTTCCACTCCATTCTCCAATCAGAGAAATTTGCTTCATTGCATTGCAAAAAACTTGAGATACTCTTTTTCTTCGTCTTTTTCGAACTCTCTGTTTTCGTTCTGAGTTTTGTTTTCTGATTGGTTGAAAGATGGCCGGAAAAGGTGAAGGACCAGCGATTGGGATTGACTTGGGTACGACTTATTCTTGTGTGGGTGTATGGCAACATGATCGCGTGGAGATCATAGCGAATGATCAAGGGAATAGGACGACACCGTCTTATGTTGGTTTTACTGATACTGAACGGTTGATTGGTGATGCTGCTAAGAATCAGGTGGCTATGAACCCCATTAACACTGTCTTCGGTATGTAAAAACCTCTCATTTTTTTATCTGTCTAGTTTTTGGTTGCACGCATTACGTTCTGCCATCTCCGTTGCCCATTCCTTGGTACTTTGAATTTATTGAGTTTAGTGTGAGTAGCATTGACTTATTATGAATTATTTTGAAATATCTGCTTATGTTATTTGGTAGAAGAAATAAATTAATAAGATTGGAATACAGTTTGTGAAAGTTGGAAATTTTTCGCTTCTTTCTGAATTAATCAGCGGTTTGGTGATTGATTTTTAATTTGCTGACATGACTTGGGCTAATTGTGATTACTTAACGACTTGTAAGATTTATTGGTTTAATGTCACTCAAGCGTCAAGACCAATTATTTTTGGTAGATCTTTATGAATAGTGGCGAGCTTATAAGCTATGGATTCATCTCAATCCAGTATTTAGATGCGGAGCATGGATATATATGTGAAACACCATTACAGTTTTAACAAATATTATGTTATGAACCCATAATTCCAATGTCTAATGCATTCAATTTTAAGAATTATAAATGTTGAACAAATCAAGTTTAGATCGCCTTTGTAATTATGAGCATCATGATGTCTTCTTTGTCCTATCTTTTTTGGTTAGGTGGAGATTTGTATGTTAGTGTATCAATGTGTGTGAGATTGAGAGAACATCTTTAAATTTGAGTTACAACTAAATATAGTAACTCTTAAGGATTGGAATAAATATATTGAGCTCATTTAATTCACTGAAACTAGTTTGGGATTGGAATTTTGGAGTTATTGAGTACTGGAGTGTACGCCTAACTTGTCTTAAAAGATAAAATACTGAGTATTTGAAGAAAACAAAACTAAAATTAAGTAGAATTTTCTATAGTAAATTCATGTGGTCCACCCCTGAGAGTCAAGATTCAAGTGTAGCTATTCTTGTTGGCTGTTGCATATAAACGATTTCTCTAGATTGGTGTGAACTTCTCTATTAATTGGATTTATGATATGTGTTTCATAAGGAGCTTATTTCTGATGAGATTTTGGAAATTTTTGTGATTACAGATGCTAAGCGATTGATTGGGAGGAGATTCAGCGATCCTTCTGTGCAGAGCGATATGAAATTATGGCCTTTTAAGGTAATAGCTGGGCCTGGTGACAAGCCAATGATTGTTGTAACCTACAAGGGCGAAGAGAAGCAGTTTTCAGCTGAGGAAATCTCTTCTATGGTACTCACCAAGATGAAGGAGATTGCTGAGGCTTACCTTGGTACTACAATCAAGAATGCAGTTGTCACAGTCCCTGCTTACTTCAACGACTCGCAGCGACAAGCAACTAAGGATGCTGGTGTCATTTCTGGCCTTAATGTGATGCGTATAATCAACGAGCCTACGGCAGCTGCAATTGCCTATGGACTTGACAAGAAGGCTAGCAGTGCTGGTGAGAAGAATGTGCTTATATTTGACCTAGGTGGTGGTACTTTTGATGTTTCTCTTCTTACAATAGAAGAGGGTATCTTTGAGGTTAAAGCCACTGCTGGTGATACACATTTGGGAGGTGAGGATTTTGATAATAGAATGGTGAACCATTTCGTTCAGGAGTTCAAGAGGAAGCATAAGAAGGATATTAGTGGAAACCCGAGAGCATTGAGGAGGTTAAGGACTGCTTGTGAGAGGGCAAAGAGGACACTCTCATCGACTGCACAGACCACAATTGAGATTGATTCTTTGTATGAAGGTATTGATTTTTACTCGACTATTACTAGAGCGAGATTTGAGGAGCTGAACATGGATTTGTTCAGGAAGTGTATGGAGCCAGTGGAGAAGTGTTTGAGAGATGCCAAGATGGATAAAAGCAGTGTTCATGATGTGGTTCTTGTTGGTGGATCAACTAGGATCCCCAAAGTTCAGCAATTACTTCAAGATTTCTTCAATGGAAAGGAGCTTTGTAAAAGCATCAACCCGGACGAAGCAGTTGCCTATGGTGCAGCTGTCCAAGCTGCAATCTTGAGCGGTGAAGGTAACGAGAAGGTTCAAGACTTGTTGCTGTTGGATGTCGCTCCTCTGTCTCTTGGTTTAGAAACTGCTGGAGGTGTAATGACTGTGTTGATTCCAAGGAACACAACTATTCCCACCAAGAAAGAGCAAGTGTTCTCTACGTACTCGGACAACCAACCTGGTGTGCTGATCCAGGTGTACGAGGGAGAACGAGCGAGGACCAAGGACAACAACCTGTTAGGCAAATTTGAACTCTCTGGCATCCCCCCTGCTCCAAGGGGTGTTCCTCAAATCAATGTCTGCTTTGACATTGATGCCAATGGCATTCTCAATGTCTCCGCCGAGGATAAAACTACTGGTCAGAAGAACAAGATAACCATCACCAATGACAAGGGTCGGCTTTCCAAGGAAGAGATTGAGAGAATGGTGCAAGAAGCTGAAAAGTACAAGTCTGAAGATGAAGAGCTCAAGAAAAAAGTAGAAGCTAAGAATGCATTGGAGAATTACGCTTACAACATGAGGAATACAATCAAAGATGACAAGATTAGCTCCCAACTTCCGGCTGCTGATAAGAAGAAGATTGAGGATGCAATTGACGAAGCTATCAAGTGGCTGGACAGCAACCAACTTGCAGAGGTGGATGAATTTGAAGACAAGATGAAGGAGCTGGAAGGCATCTGCAATCCAATCATTGCTAAGATGTATCAAGGCGGCGCTGGTGGAGCTACTATGAATGAAGATGGTCCTTCTGTTGGTGGCGGAGCTGGTAGTGGAAGTGGTGCTGGACCAAAGATTGAAGAAGTGGATTAATAGTTTTTTTGAGAATCTGTTTATCTGTTTTTTATTAAGTTTTTCGTGAGAGTTCTAGTAGTTAAGCTTTCTTTAAATGGACGCTGTTCACCTTTTTGTTGTTAAGATGTGCATTTTCATATAGAAATCAAAGAAAGCACCAATTGTTGTTTTCCTACAAATTTAGTGCAGTGATTGAATTGCTTTTTCATTTCTGACAAACACATCTGCTTGTTGCCCATCTGCCAATGAGTTGAAGGTTTTTCTTTGTGACTGCTAGAGTTCCACCAATGTTAAGCAATTGGGCTACGAAAGTTTGTTGTTCTCTTATTTTAGTTTAAAATAATTAATCTCTTGTTACAATACTATAGGTGAATTTGTATAAAATACAAATATAGCAACTTTCTAAATACAGTTACGAATGTTAAATTCAATATAAATGTTTGCAGTGTCGCCTAATCTTTTTTCCCCATCTTTAGGGCCTTATGTTAGTTATTCAAATTTTAGTACACTGAATTTGCAAGTATGCTGACGCCCAGCCTTTAAAATCAGATTAGCTTTTCTCTCTTTCCCTTTTATGGTGCTTTTTGTTTCAATAACAGTGACTCTGTATAAATAAATGGATGAAGCCTCTTAACATGGAAGCTTTCTTATCCAACAAAAAAAAAGGTAAAATATGTGCAAATCATCAGATGATACATTATTGCAATTGATTAAAAGCAGCAAAAGAAAAGACAAAAAGATCATAAACTTGGAAGCGCATTCATAAACTCCCAAGAAAAGCAAAAGCGATTGGGGAAATATATACTGTAGAGAGAAAAGCTCTAAAGACTAAATTCCAAAGCTTCATTTAATCTAGAACAAAGGAGACTGGCACGTCTGAGAATTATAAGCTGGTTTATTTCATTATCTGATTTAGTTTACATTTATCTTCATTTGCATTGATAACACGTTTCGCCATGCATCACATAATAGGTAACTCTAAGATGCTCATTATCCAAACGTAACACATGTAAGAACATACAACAACATACCCAGTATTATCCAATACTGAGGAGTCTGGAGAGGGTAGTGTGTACGCAGACCTTACCCCTACCTTGTGAGGATAGAGAGGCTGTTTCCAATAGACCATCGGCTCAGTAAAGCATAAGCACCACATTAATGAAAATATAAACAAGAAGGGACAGTACCAAAAAGTTTAGAACATACAAAGATTATAAATCAAAAGTACAAAAGATCGTATAGTCTAAGAACATTAGGTTGGGGCATTCTCCATATCCCTAGAGCCAACAAATATCGGAATATACAGTGGAAAAACAAAGCAGCTCTGTAAATCCATGGCTTTTGGCATTTTGTTTTTTCTATAGACTATTCAATATCTGATTCATTAAAAATGGCTTACATATATATGTCCACTTACATTCAGGTTTCGCTCTGCATCACATTATAGACGACTCAGCAGTGCGACAGCAGTCTTAAAACAGCAGCAACAAAAGGATCCACATAAGTTGGTATGATCATATATGAGGCCCTTAGGCTGATTAGCTGATCAAAACCAGACTGACGTTGCACGATTAACTGTTGGCTGTAGCACATCCCTTCTAGACTAATGAGCTATAATCTAGAGCTCTCTCAAAATGAAAGAAGCAAAACCAACATAATTAGTTGAGTAAAATCAAAAAAGCCCACCTATTCAACAAAGATTGAATTTCCCCCTAAAAACTTAAACTTAAAAAAGAATGGAAATTAACTATCAGGTCTAGCTTACACTTTTGCAATCAATACCTAGCTCACGACAGCACAAACTCATTTGGAGGGCGAAGGCAAACAGGAACTTCATGCACTTCTGGAGTTGTGCCATGTTTGGGAACTTTCAATTCAAGAACTGTCCCGCTGTTGTCAAAATAGGCTTCTAGTTTGGCGTCATCAGGTATTCGAGTTGGAAGTGGAATTTCCCTTGTGAACTCTCCTGGAGGACAGTGCTCTGGAGATGGATCGGTTAGTTTGAATGTTCTACCATTTCTCAGCATGAATGGGGGGCATGCTGTACTAACAGATGTTATTTTTATAATGCCATGATCGATATTGTTCCACCAATGAACTTTCACCTTTTCACGATCAACGAAAGGTAGGGTTATCATAATCAAGTATCCTCCCTCGTCTTCGTATATAGTTCTTGCAGCAGCAACTGGCCCAGACACGTTTTTCATTACCCCAGAAAACTCATTCATCCAAGATGGTTCAATAGTATGTAGTTCTCCGTCTTGATGTCTGTTTGAACTGGGATTAGTTGACAAGGAACAATCTTCATCACTTCCATGAGAAAAGAAGTCTTTCCTTTTCTTACCACAATCAGACGAGAGATCTAAACCGTTGCTGTTCACATGATTTGATGGTTGAGTTGACAAGTTGAGACTAGTTCCATTTAGTAACTTTTTCGAAGGGAGATGAGAATTGCTCTTTGGTAAGGGAATGGGCCTTTGAAGCTCAAAATCTGTATTGGGAAGGTTCCGCCAAGAACTGAAATCTCTGGCTTCGGGCGGGATAGAAAAGTTCAAATCCCTGCCCGTAAGTTCCATCCACTTCTTCTGCTCTTCCTCGTCAATACATGATAAATTGGGCGATGGAACAAGCTCAATTCCATGCAAACACTGCGGATTGGAGAGGCCTCTATAATGTTTACGCTGCATTTTATGAGAGCGCATGAACCCCTTATCAACGCTAAAAGGAAACGGACGCTCACCCTGCTTAGAATGGCCATTCATATAACTTCTCAACTGCATCTTACCCAATGCATTTTCAGACCTCTCCTTAAAAACCCACATGTACATATTCTCCATGTCATGTTGAATCAAGAAAACATCAAGTTGGAGATCGGACTTATCAAATCCGGACACCCCATTACTATCTTGAACAAAGTTACACTTAGATCTCTCCTTCAAAACAGGCTTAAAGTAGAAATTGAAAAAGAACCAAGCACCCCAAACACTATCCAATCTCTTAGCACATTTCCTTCCAACTTTAGGCAAATCAAGAAGCTTATCACATTCATTAATTTGGTGTCCAAGTCCAACATCTAGCATATCAAACATGTCGTGGTTCCAAGATTGAGGCAGAGGGCTACTCTCCACGGATAAAGGAAGATTAATATCCGGTGGCCTCGATAGCACAATTTGCCTATTCATATCTCTATCTGATTCCTCATGTGATGTAGCAATTGAATCCATAGACAAAAATGTAGATGGGTGATAATTCTCTATTGACAAGCTTGTAATTAAGTCTTCCCCCATCTGTCTACCCTTATTTGCACCACTAATTCCTCACAGTTAATACCCAATTTCACTATGTAACATCAGCACCTACTGAAAATCAACAAAAGCACATCATAACTACAAACCCCATATACACAAGAACACCTTATACACACAAAAAAAACAGCCCGCTGCACTAAGCTCCCTCTATGCGCGGGTTCGGGGAAGAGTCAGACCACAAGGGTATATTGTACACAGCCTTACCCTGCATTTCTGCAAGATGCTATTTTCATTGCTCGAACCCGTGACCTCTTGATCACATGACAACAACTTTACCAGTTATGGCAAAACGGACCACAAAGGTCTATTATATGCAGCCTTACCCTGCATTCCTGCAAGAAGCTGTTTTCACGGCTCGAACTCGTGACTTACTGATCACATGACAATTTTATACACACTATATAGGAAAAAATTCAAATATTTACCACAAAATCAAGATAAACAAACATGGGTATTACCAAACATCAGTAGAAAGGGTGTTTTATGCTATAAAGGCGAGATTTTTACAAGCAAAAACTGTGCAATGAAAGGCTCTTGAATTGGATAAAACCATATAAAATTGGGTAGAAAACTACGGAAAATAAATCAAAGGATTATTAAGGATTACCTTTAGGGAGATTAACTTAGAATCCAATAAGAGTTAACTGTAAAAAGATCTTTACAAAGAATGCTCAGCGAAAAATCCACGGCTAGAGAGAGAAAGAAGAGAGAAGGGGGAAAGGGGAGGGAGAGCGCTTTGAGATTGAGGGAAATAAACGGTGACGGATACCGTTAACTTTGACGGCGTTAATGAGAAACAACGAGAAGAACCGTAACGTCTAATAAGCAAAATCTAGTAGTGATTCGGGGACCACGAGATAGTTGATGAATGAATGATAATTTCATTATAAGTAATTTACCTTTTCATTCTGCTGAAAAATCAACATATGATAAGTATGTTATGAAATAAAGACCGTAAAGTAAAGATAAGTATAGAGGGAAATTGTTATATTATTCGAATTCAAACTGATGTACATAATGAACTGAAATCTCTTCTATTTATAGAAGAAAGGAAGCTGCTGTGTAAGTTGCTATTATACCAGACATGGATAATCTTCTACTGAGATCAATGTTTATCCATAATGGAGTACTGAAAGGATAAACTTATTATACCCGATATGAATAATCTTTTACCGTGGGTAATGTTTATCCATAACTGGGTACTGAAAGGATAAGCTTATTATACCCGGTATGGATAATCTTCTACCGGGGGTAATATTTATCCATAACCGGGTACCGAAGTGATAAGCTTCTTCAGGAAGCTTATTTCCAATAGAGTACTAAATAGATAAACATTTTTACGGTGGAGTCCCATATGGATAAGCTTCTTCAGGAAGCTTATTTACAATAGAGTACTAAATGAACATCCATAATATAATATATTTATAACACTTCCCCTTGGATGTTCATTAAAAGATAATGTGCCTCATTAAAACCTTACTAGGAAAAACCACGTGGGAAAAAATTCCAGTGAAGGAAAAAGAGTACACATATTTAGTAAGACGCATTGCTAGGTGCCTCATTAAAAACCTTATAAGGAAAACCCCATGGGCAAAAACCTTAGTAAGGGAAAAAGAGTGCATCGCGTATTTTACTCACCCTGATGAAAACCTTGTTTCAAATATTTGAGTCTCCACATTCCAATCTTGTATACCATCTTCTCAAAAGTTGAAGTTGGCGAAGATTTAGTGAATAAATCTGCTGGATTATCACTTGAACGGATTTTTGCACATTAATGTCACCACTTTTCTGAAGATCGTGTGTGTAGAATAATTTTGGTGAAATGTG